TCTACCATTATCCAAACAATGGATATTTCATGATCCTGTCCAAATTAAACATCACAAAGACTTTAAATATTAAAAGACAATTTTTTATTGTTATGGCCTGGAAGAGATGTTAAAATCTAACAACATGCAAGTAGCTATTGAATAATTTCTTTGGTAACAAATTATTTCAATGCATCAAATACATGGTGCTATACTTTGTGTGTGTGTGGTAAGAAATATAGTAGAAAGGAATCCCTCTCCCTCTCACTCTCTCTTGCTTTGCCTTCTTTTTTTTTCCAGAAAATATTATCTAATTCACTAAATACATTTTAGCAATATTATGTAGTATTATAGAGGCAGTAGTTGATACACCCAGTTATATATTTTACCATCTGAGCAGTCAAAAAAGTAAAAGCCCAATCATCACAAATGAGATCAGCCATTTGTATATTTAATCCCTTTTACCCTTCCTTTCAAAAATAGAACTTATATAGAGAAAGGAGACTTGGGAAATACTAAAAAAAACTGGGTCAATAAAAAAGTGAGAACATAACTGGTCTTATATTGAAAGATGAGTCTTTGAGTTAATTGAGGAAAACACCTTATTTTCATAAAGTCAGCCAAAGAGAATGGTTAGAAATCATCATTTTGCAAAGAAAATCCAATACAGAAAATGACTAAGCCTGGAAAGCATGGGTATTCAGGTTACTAGATATTTGTTTGATTTTAAAATGATCAATTAAATTCCTCCAGAAGGTACATAATATATTCTTCAGTCACGCAATACACTTAGGCTGATTTTTGCTCCCCAAGTAAACTTTTAAATGCAAAATATCTCAAAATATCAGGCTGCCAAAAGTAGTCTTGGAATGTGTGAACAATTGTTTTGGCAAGTTATCCTAACAGCCCTAAATTTTAGATTGGTAAATCATTACTTGGTTCAAATATTAGTATATCATAGCAATGTAAGGCATCTTATTAGTCTATAATAGTCTGAATAAAACAAAGTTTAATTAAAATGAGGTTTGAGCAAATATAGTTCAGGACTAAATTCTAAAGGCTAGGGTAACAGAAATTATGAACATGCACATCTCAGCTTAAATGTTAAACTGATCTTCTTGTACCTTATTTTTGTGAGGTCAAGAAATTGAACCATCTTTCAGACAACCACAAAGACTAAGTCTTCACTGCTGTTACTGGAGCTAGGAACTTCAGTCTAGATGCCACCTTTCTCTTCTCATGGAAGCACTAAAATCTCCTTTCCCACCTTAACCACAACTCTTCTGTCTGTAACCTGTTTATCTTACCTCTACAACTAGATCGTCTTACTGCTCATCCTGAAGCTCAACATGATATTGTCTCTAATTATAACAGGTGTCATTATACTTCTTATCTTGGGGACCAGAGACCCACAAGGAATACCCTATATATAGCCTCTTGTGAGAATGCTGTCTGACTGTAAGCAGTTTCACGAATCTTTCCAAGTCTCCACAGGCACAGTTCGGTTTCTTGGAAGGACTCAGCCTTATGGTGTCCATTCAATCTGAGTTCTGAGCTTAGAAATCAGTAAGAGATTCAGATCTGAAATTCAGATCTTGGAAGATATTCATTGTATCTTTGAACTTAAGCACTAAATGCTTTCTTACAACATATGTGATGAGAGTTAGGAGTGGAGGATATTGTGGAGCAACAAGTTTATAAATAATCAGGATGATTATATTAATATTGTCACATGTCTCTAGATATTCTTAAGTAATTCACCTGAACCAGTTTTACTTCTGAAAATCAACTAGAGTTCCAGAACATTTTCTAGTCACGTTTCTTTCTTGCATTCCCCTGAAATGTATTTGTTTGATCAAGTACAGGGTATGCATTATCCCCATGTATGGGAGCATTATTATTTGTGTTTTGGTTGGGGTCCTATGCAATGATTAGATATGTTCCTTCTTATTCTTCTCTTCTGCTCTATAATTCAGGAAAAGTGAACATTACAGGATTTGTTTCCCAGGATCACAGATCATCTTTATTTAGGCAGGGCTTGTTCATTGGGGACACTGGGACAATTCTTTCTATTTCTAAATTTTCTCAACTGCTCCCATTCCATGGCTTCAGATTTTGCAGAGGGTGCTTCCATAGTTTCAGCTTCCAGTGGGAGACTCATGTTCCTGAGACAGGATTAAACTACTGGTAGCCTCTATGTTTGCTGGTTAGAGTTGGTGATTTTTATGGCTTCTAATTTCTGGGAGTCCTCACTGTCAAATGTGTGCCTTCTTAAAAGTTCTATAATTTGTGAAAATAATTACCTGTATTAAAGGTGCTTTGTAATAAAGACTTAAGTGCTGTTTCCTGATTTAATTCTGACTAATATAGAGGCTATCCATAATAATAGAGGGCTAGTGATTTCAGTAATTTGTTGAGTTGAAGAAATGAGAGTATTGACCTTCTAGTTATTTCTTTCCAACTGTTAGAAAGGGAATAATCAAAAGACACAGCAATCTCAACATAATAAATGTTATATATGAAAAACCCACAACCACTTTGTGCTAAATGGTAAAATACTGAAGGCTTTTCCTCTATAGTCAGGAGCAAGACAAAAATTCCTACTTTCACTATTTGTATTCAGCAAAATACTGAAAGTTTTTGCCAGAGAAATCAGACAAGAAGAAAAAAAAAGGCATTCAAATTGGAAAAGAAAAAATAAATGATCTCTGCAAGTAAAATAATCATATAGATAGAAAACTATAAAGATATTTCTCTCCCCCCCACTCTCTCTCTTCCACACACACACACACACACACACACACACATTCTAGACCTCGTAAACAACCTGAGAGAAATTGCAGGATTCAAAATTAACATCCAAGAATTAGTGGCTTTTTTATACACTAACAATGGGCAATCTGAAAAAGAAATTATATAAGCAATTCCACTGACAATACCATTAAAAAGAATAAAATAGGCATAAACTTAAGCACTGAAAACTGCAAAAAATCACCTAAAGAAATAATAAAAACACAAATAAATGGAAATGCATCCTGTATTCTTGGGTTAGAAAATTTAATGTTATTAATCTGCCAATGCTACCCAAACTGATATACAGATTTAATGCAATATCTATCAAAGTTGCAATGACATTTTTTGCAGAAATATAAAAGTCCATATGAAATCTTAAGAGATCCCTGAATATACAAAAATATGTGGAGAAAAAAACTAAATTGAATGGTCTGCACTTCATTATCTCAAAACTTATTACAAAGCTATGATAATAAAACCAGCGTTGTACTGGGAAAAGGGAAGACATAGAGACAAATAGAATAGAATAAAAAGTCCAAAAATAAACTCTCACAAATATGCTCAAGTAATTTACTGCCATGACTACTCAATGGGGAAAATGTAGTCTTTTCAACAAATAGTGGTGAAAAACCTAGATATCCACATGCAAAAGAATAAAGATGAAGTCTTATCTTTACATCATAAAAAACATTAAAAATAGAACAAAGATCTAAATGGAGGTCACAAAAGAAAATTTTATGACATTAAATTTGATAATTTCTTGGATATGATAAAGGCAACAAAAATGAAATAAACTGTACTTTACCAAAATTAAAAATTTTATGCATTAAATAACTCTATTAACACAGTGAAAAGTCAATCCACAGTGAAAAAGCAACCCAGATATAAGGCAAGCCATATAAACAATCAATATTCAGAAGACATTAAAAAAAAAACTCTTAAAACTTAAGAGTAATAATAAAAATTATTGGAGTAAAAAAAGGGCAAAGGGCTTAGACATTTGTTCCAAAAAATGTTCAAATGGCCAATAGACACATTAAAAGATGCTCAGTATCACTGATTATTAGGGAAAAGCAAATTAAAACAATGAGATACCACTTCACATCCATAAAGGTGACTATTATTTTAAAAAATAAAAGAAAGGAAAAGACAATTATTGGTGTGGATGCAAAAAATAGAAGGAATATTTGTACATTTGTAGTAGAAATATAAAGCCCTGCAGCTGCTACAGAAAAAGGCATGGCATTTACTCAAAAATTTATACATAGAATTATCATTTGATCCATCAATTCCACTTCTGGATACATACCCCAGAAAAATTTCTTTTTTAAAAAGGATCCAAACAGATTATTATTTTTTTAATAAAATGGTAACTATTTCTTTTTTTTAAGATTTTATTTATTTATTTTTAGAGAAGGAAGGGAGGGAGAAAGAGAGAGAGAGAGAGAGAGAGAGCGCGGGAGAGAGAGAAACATCAATGTGCAGTTGCCGGGGGTTCTAGCCTGCAACCCAGGCATGTACCCTGTTTGGGAATCGAACCTGTGACACTTTGGTTCGCAGCCTGCACTCAATCCACTGAGCTACGCCAGCCAGGGCCAAACAGATTATTTTTACACTTATGTTCATAGCAGCACTATTCACAATAACTTAAAGGTGAAAACATACTGTGTCATCTGCAGATGGATGAATGGAAGAACAAAAATGAATTCACATAACATTAAAAAGGGGGGGATTTCTAATACATGCTAAAACATGGGTGAACTTTGAGGATATTATGTTAACTGAGTTAGCAAGTCACAAAAGGATAAATATTGTATGATTCCACTTAAGTGAGGTACCTAGAGTAGCTAAATTCATAGAGACAGCAGTAGAGTTGTACTTGTCAGAAGATGTGAAGTGGGAATGGGAAATTAGTGTTTTATGAATATGGATTTTCTATTGGAGAAAATTAAGAAAATTTCTGGAGATGGATGGTGATGCTGGTTGCACTACTATATGACTGTACTTATTCCACTGAACTATACAGTTAAAAATAGTTAAAGTGATAAATTATATGTTATGTATATTTTGACACAATTAAAAGAACCATTAGTGGGATGCTCTTTATATTCCACTCCAATATTAAAACATGAGTGGTGATAATAGATAGATAAAGCAGTTATTTTCCTTACATTATCTTTTTACTTCCATTTATTCTTGAACCAACTTTTTTATTGATCCAACTAAAATCAAGCAACTTTGACCATTAGTATCCTAAGAACATGTTCCCGTATTTTCTTGGTCCTTACTCCATACACAATAGGATTGAGAAAAGGGGGCAACAAAAGGTACATATTTGCAATAAAAATATGGATATGTGCAGGTACATTTTTCCCAAAGCGGTGAGTAAAAATGGAAAAACCAGCTGTGGAGTAGAAGACAAGAATAACACAGACGTGGGATCCACAGGTGCCCAAAGCCTTAAAGCTAGCCTCTCGGGTTGGCAGGCGGAATACAGACCGCAGAATGAAGGCATAGGATACAGCAATAAGAAGGGCATCACAGGAGCCAATGATTGTAGCCATACTGAGGCTGTAACGTTTGGTTCCTCCTGTATCCATACACGCCAGTTTCACCACAGCCATGAACTCACAGTAGGTATGGGAAATTATTCGAGTTCTGCAGTAGGGCAGCTGTTTGAGCAGGATGGGATGTGGAGAAAAGAAGGCTATACCCCGAATCACCACAATGATTCCAATAATAGTGATGTGAGCATGGGTGAGAATGGTGGTATGGCGCAGTGGGTAACAAATGGCCACATAACGGTCAATGGCCATGGCCAAAAAGAAGCCTGATTCCATGGCAGTGAAGCTGTGGATGAAGAACATTTGGGCCAAGCAGGAATCAAAAGCGATGTCATGGGCTCCAAGCCAAAAGAGACAAAGCATGCGAGGCAGCGTAGATGTGGAGAGGACCAGGTCGGTGACTGACAGCATGCACAGAAAGAGGAACATAGGCTCATGGAGGCTTCGCTCTGCCCTCACCACGGCCAGGATGGTCACATTCCCCACCACGGCCACTATGTACAAAGAGCAGAAGGGAATCCCAATCCAGACATGCAGGTGCTCTAGTCCGGGGATGCCCAATAGCAAGAAGGAGACAGGAGAGGGACGAGAAGTATTGAGAGGAGGCATGGTGATTATTCCTTTGATTTTTATCAGTCTCTCTGAAAATAGAGTTGTAATATCAAGATAATCACAACCAGATGCCAAAAAATATGGAGATTTTGTTCAGAAAGGTCATTAATGATGTGTTGTTAAAAACAATTCAAATTCACAATCTCCAGTATTTGAAGTCACTAGAACCAGATTAATAAAATTAGTAATAGCATACCAAATTACTGTTTTTTAAAATATAGAAAGGTAATACTTATATCTTTTCATGTTACTTCAGTACCTAAAAGTTACTTTGTCCCTTCATTTCCAGTAAAAGATTCCATCTGTAGTCATACTTGTACTTAATTCAACACATATTTTGAACAGTTATGCTTCTCTTTTGAGTTCTCATAGAGTACTTCTCTCATATGAGTAAATTTTCCATAACTGGAAGTGATCGAAGCAGAGGTCTTGTAAAAATTAGGGGAGTTATTTAAAAGAATCTTAAGTGGGAAATAGAAAGAAATAATTTTGTTGCTCTCTTTCTAGAGATGATATTGAAGGGTTTGACATAGCTTTTGAAATAGGATTAACTCAATATATACCTTCAGCCTTTTATTTGCCCCCTGCATCTCTGACTAATCTGACAAATAAAATATTCTTGTTTCTTTTTTCTGTTATTTCCTTCTATCATGTTCTCTTCAAGGAAGCATATATTATTTTCTTTTCACTCAATCACTTTATATTGTTAAGGACAATGTATTTCTTAACGTAATCCTGTCACTACCTTCTTATTCTTATTTTTTTAGACTGTGATAATTTCACTCTGCCTATGAATCCTAATTGAGCTCCTTCACTTCTTGAGGCAGAAACCCACATTCTAAACCATGCACAACAATTTATTTATTGGATTGGTAAGTTTACCTAATGATGTCTGGAAAATGATGTCTGGAAGTTACTGACTATAACAAATTTCTTCCCGTAGTTCAAATCAACAGTCAAATCTATGACAGAGATTCCCTGGGATAAAGTATTATATGAACATTAAGCAAGGAGTTGAAGGGTTAAAAAGAGGAGGACTCTTAAGTTATTGCAAATGCTTCAGTTTTAGAGAAAACCTTGGTTACTAATTTCCAGTTTTTCCCATTTCCCATGATGGCAGTACTTGGTACTTGGGTGGTGCTGTCATTAGCTCATAAGGAGAATCTATTTTCCCTGTCTCAAACTGATCATTATAAATAAGCAGTAATAAGAACTTACACAGAGTTACCTCTACATATGCTTTCCAGAACCATGCTAACACACTTACTTTCTCCAAATATCATTAACTGAAGAAATATTTTCTAGGTTTTTAAGTTACATTTCTGAGCTATCACAGTGAAAAACTCTTGAACAGTACAAAGGTGACTCTTCTATTATTTAGCTTTAAATAATTCATTATACTTTAAGCAAGTAATTTATTAGATAAAAACTTACCCCAGATGGGAGGAAAGGATGAATTATGTAGAAATGATTGTAAGCAATCAAATTAAGTTTAGTCAAGGAAAGCCTTCTTGAGTCAATAGCAGTTAGGTTGGAATGTGAAGATTATATGACTTCAGCCCATGGAATTTGAATATAAATGAATAGGTATTGATATAGATAAACCTTCTATCATTTGTCTATCATTTATCTATGTATCTATCTATCATCTATTATATATCTATATATCATCTATCTTCTATACATACATGCGCACACATAAACATGAGAAAGGATAATTATAATATAATAAATTAAAATCTAATGTAATTGTAATTCAAAGATGACAAAGAGATCCAAGTAAGACGAAATTCTATATGTAAAGAAAGGTCCCCACATATTCATGTGAAATCACATAACCAATAGAAAATTATATAACCTAATCTCTAGATTAAAGGCTGTCACTCATTAGGTGCTCAGCAAATACATGTTGGAGGTATAAATACAATGCAGAACACTGCAAGAACAGAACTGCAAATGAATACACATACATATACTACTTTCCAAAACATGCATGATATAATCTCTGTGATACCATCGCCCTAGAAATGACAACTTGTAGTTGAGTCCAAGCATCATGAGATATCCATATTTTTGTTCCTTAATAGATTCATACAAGATAAAATATGGTCAAAATGAGAGATAATCTTTACTTGCATAATATCCTTAAAAAGACTTTTGCTTCCTAGAATTTAAATTTCTATTCATTTAATCCATAGAGAATGAGAAATGTGGATATTCTCTGTTTCAAAAGATTTTATCTCCTTCCTTGAATCTAAGTCATTTGTAAAAAAAAAATGTTGTTTGTAGGAGTTTTATATCCTTTAAAATTTTCCTTAGTACATTCAGACTCTTTCTCTACATTCCTCTCCAGTCTCATAAAAACCTTAATTAGCTCACAGAGAAACTGATTCAGAGCAAAGAAGCAACCTAAAAATGGAGCTTCTATATGTAGCAACTTCAACATAGTAATCTCAGAGGATAGACAGGAACAATGCCTGGCACAGAAAGGTCCTTATGGAATCATTAGGAGAAGGAGCAGAATTCGTATTGCTGGCAATTGATTATGTTCCTAATTCCAGGGATAGTAATTTACCAGTGCATTCCCTTAGGTGTGTAGCTAAATATATAAGCATCCCTCACTATTTTGATATAATTATCAATCAATTAAGAGTACCAGTCCTAAAGGGAACTGAAAAGAAACAGAAGACATTTTTTTCACCTTCAATACACTAACTGCATTCCAATGTCAACTCAGGACATACACCTTGCAGGTCAGAAAATAATTAAATGATTAAGTGTTGGGGGATAATAAAAATTCTATATCTGGAAAATCTATCCTTCAAAAATAAGGAAAAAATAAGATATTCTCAGATAAACAAAAGTTAAAGGATTATTTTACCACTAGATCTGTTCTATAAGAAATGCTATAAGGTAGTTTTATGTTGATATTAAAAGAAGCTAGAGAGTAACTCAAACCTATACAAAATTATAAAGTTCCTCTGTAAAGATAAATACATACACATGTGTAAAAAACATCATCATCATTTTCATTCATAATGTTACTTCTTATGTTCCTAGAGTTCAAAAGACAAAAGCACAAGCATAATTATAACTATGTTAATGGGTACACAATATGTAAAGATGTAATTTGTCATATTAATAATGAAATATGGGATGGAGCTCTAAAGGAGTAGAGCTTCTGAATATGATTGAAGTTTCTATCAGCTTTTTTAAATTTATTGATTTTTAGAGAGAGAGGAAGAGAGAGAGACAGGAAGTGAGAGAAATATTAATGTATTGTTCCACTTTATTTATACATTCATTGGTTGCTACTTGTATGTTCTCTCACTAGGGATCAAATCTGCAAAGTTGGCATTTTGGGAGGATGCTCTAACAAACTGAATTACGCATTCAGGGGCCATCAGTTTTACATATATTGTAATAAAACTAAGATATTATATGTAACTCCTGCGCCAACCACAAAAGAAATATAAAATATGCATAAAAGGAAATGACAGGTACTCAGAAAGTGGCATTACAAAAATCAGCTAAATAAAAAAGAATGCAACATGGGAAGAAATGAAGGGCAAAAAAGTTGTAAGACATATGGAAAATAAATCACAATAATGGCAAAAGTAAATCCTTCCCTATGAGTAACTACTTTAAATGTAAATGTTTTAAATTCTCTGGTCAAAACATATAGAGTGGTAGAATGAATTAAAACACCAGGATGTAGACAAGTGAGAACTTGGAAGTTGACACTGTGCCCTAACAACAATAAAATGCTGAACCAACTAAAATTTAACAACTTATCTTACATCCATAAGACACATGAGATCACAGGGCAATCAGCTGCTCCCCAAATTAAAGAAACTAATAAGTGAAAACTGAAAATCACAACTTACCAGAGCAAAAATTTAAATGGGAAAGAGTGTCAGGATAGGAAAATGAACTGTACTTAATTAATTGCTGGACTGTTAGTTAAGCAAGCATGAGAGATAAACTCTAAGCGGAACCAGTCAATGTTGTGTCACAGTTTTGAGAGTTTTGCCTCCAGGAGCTCACCATGTCCTCTGAGTGATATCACATAAAAATCCCCTAAATCACCATGCTTTACCCACAGTGAAGGAAAAATACCATTTTGGATAATACCAGATTATTCTATTCTTTGTAACAGAGTCTGCCCTCAGGAAAAATATTTAGCCAGACATTTACCTGCTAGATTTTATTATGGTCTTATTGACCTTGGGAAAAAAATAATTCTAGCTGTAAGTAAGCAGAAGAAAGGAATAATACCAACTAAAGCAGAACTCACTAAATTGAAAACACCCCTGTTTTCAAAAGAGAATAATAAAAGAAAAATTACAAAGACTATATCTTGAGGATGTACACTATATAAATTAATCTATAACTTGTAAGAAATTAAATCAGGGATCAAAAACCTCCCAACAAAGAAAAGCCCAGGACCAAATGGCTTGGTGAATTCTATTAAATATTAAAGAAAAATTAACACCACTACTACTCATAGTCTTTCAAAAAATTGAGGAGGAGGGAATACTACCAAAATCATTCTCTGAGCTCTATTCTGCTATGAAAATCAGAAAACATTCTGACATTATAATCAGAAAAAAACACTATGAGAAAAGAACTTCAGACCAGTATGTCTCATAAATTCTGATGCAAAAATACTCAACAGAATACTAGAAAGTCAAGTTCATTGCATGTAAAAGGATTGTACAACATTACCTAGTGAAATTTACTCCTGGATGCAATGATGATTCTTTCCTTTTTTAAAAACAAATGTTTATTGTATTTTTTCCATTATCACTTAGCCCCCTTATACACACCTTCTCCCAGCAATCACCACACTGTTGTCCAATGTCCATGAGTCCTTTTCATTTTTTTGCTTAATCCTTCCATCCTCCCACCTCCTCCACCCCACTACCTGTCATCCTGTTCTCTATGAATGAGTCTGTCCCAATTTTCCTTGTTAGTTAAGATCATTCATTAGATTC